GCAGGGAGCCCGATGCGGGACTCGATCCAGGGACTCCAGGATCGTGACCTGAGCCGAAGGCAGTCGCTTAACCAACTGAGCCACCCAGGCGCCCCAGAGTGAACATTCTTAAGCTCTTCTCATCAGTTGTCTCAGGGGCTTCTCACCCAATGTCTGAATGAGGGTAACTCACAGGTCCAACCATCCAGCTCTGGCAGGCCTGAAACCAGGTTCAGGGCAGTGTCTGGGGCTCCTCTGAGAAATAGCTGCTTATTCCTCTTAAATGTGGGCCCTGTGCCAGGCTGTGGGTTGCAGTGTTGAATAATGCTCAGTCTCTTTCCTGCTCTTAGGAGGTTCTCAGGCTGGAGAGAAAAGTTACTGTGTCAGGATTCCTTGGCTACAAGCTACAGATGACTCAATTGACTAGTATAAACAGTAAAGTCATTTACTTATCCATTCAAAGCTTACTCAACAAATATTTACTGAGCACCTACTGTGTGCCAGGCATTGTTCAAGGCACTGTGAGTGCATGCAACAGACAAAGTCCCTGCCCTCGAGGTGTTTACATTCTAATAATTCTCAGGACTAGAAATCTTGGGTTGGTAGAGGGTTGAATGGGAGTGGTGAGGGCATGGGGGGAGTCTGGGTTTGAGGCAGTGGCTCAACCATGTCCTCAAGAACTAGGATCTTTGCATCCTTCTGCTCTGCCACTCTCCATACATTAGCTTTTCCTTATTGGGCTTGGTCCCTCTTGGTCATTAGATGGCCTTTCATCACACATCCAGGATCTAGAAGCAAGAGGATCAGAATAGCCAGAGTTTCTTTCACCTCTGCCCATGTTAACAGGAGGCTCCACACAAACTATCCCTATATCTCATGGACCACAACTGTTGCATGGTCATTTCTTGCTGTGAAGGAGTCTGGGAAAGTGGGGACTGTACAATAAAGGGTCCAATCAAGATTCTCCCCTTGGGCTGGGGATGGACCTCCCTTCTCTGAGCCCATTACTATTTTTAAGAAGGAAGAAGAGGGGATGGTTGCTGAGTTAGGTGGCACCAAGTGTCTACCACAGAGGCAGACACTGAAACAGACACATACGAGATTAGCTCTATCCATTTATTCCAAAAAGCGGATCAGCCCATGATGTATTGTATTCCTTTCAAATCCTTCAATCTGCCTCCACCCTCTCCTCTTCTGTGGTTGGAAAACTAAGGTGCGTTGGAATTACCCAGGGAGCTTGTTAAAAGTTCGGTGTCCTGGGCCCCATCCCCTGAGCTGGGTGGGGATCCAAGAATTTGCATTTTAACAAACTCCTTGGGTGATTCTGATGTAGGGGTCCTGGGGCTACACTTTGGAACACTAAGGTGGACAGGATCAAGACCTCAGAATGTTTACATGAATCCTCCATAAGCTTGAACCTCTCCCCATGTCTCCCCCATACTGTTATGCAGAACTCCTATCTCCTACAACATGTGTTCTCTGCCTCCCAGCTGTTACGTGGGCTCCAGTTCCCTAGCCTTCCTCTCCTGAGTACAGCCTGCCTCATTCCTGCAGGGATTTGCTGCATCCTTCTCTGCTTCCCACTTCCCACACTCTTGTTAGGATTCCTTACTTTCTTCCCAGACAGATCACTGCATTTCCTCACCCCCTAGATCTGCCCAGCACAGATCAGCTACTCAACGATGTTTGTGTGAAAGCATGTATATGGTCAGAGGGGAGTGTGCTGTTGATTGGGTGTGCCAGGAGGAGGTGGAATTTGAGCCTGGGCTTGAAGGAGTGGATTCTTGATGTGTGCCTGCGATGAATGGGACATTCTAGACCAAGGGAAGCTTGTGAGAGGAGACAAGAAGGCAGGGAGGTGAGGGCTGCCTCAGGAGGATTTAACTGGGGGACGGGCTTGCTTGAGAAGAGGTTGAGGTAGAAGTGGAAAGGTAGGTTGGGGCTAGACTGGGATCTCGAGCATGAGACTGAGGGGTCTACATAGTCAAGAATCAAGCAGGGAAGGAAGGGAGACAGGGATGGTAGGGGAAAGATGGAAAGAAAATCAGTTGCTCAGGCAATAGTTTTGGGGCCAGAGGAGGGGTAGAGATGAAGCTTTTTAGGTTGCCTCCCATTTCCCTCAGTGAAGTGAGGGGTGGCAATTTTAGAAGCAGCAGTACCATGGGGTAAATTCCTGCGTCTTCCAAGTGGAGGCTGGACAATGGGCTGGTGTGTGGGCAACAGCAGGCCAGGATGTAGATGCTAAGAGCACAAGGCTCTGGAGCCTGGCATGTAAGATTCAGATCCTGCCTCTGTAGTGCAGGGACTGTGTGAGCCTCGGGAGGTGACTTCATTGCCTAAGCCTGGTTTCTCATCTGTAATGTGCAGGTCCTAAACACCTGTCTGTTTCGTTTTCTAGTGCCTCCATAACAAATGACCACAAACCAGGGGCCTTAACACAATAGAAATCTATTCTCTCACAGCTTAAGAGGTCTGAAGTCCAAAATCAGCAGGGCCATGCTGCCCTCAGAGGCCCTAGGGAGGATCCTTCCTCACCTTTTCTAGTTTCAGGTAGCTCATAGCATTCTTTGGCTTGTAGCTCTGTCATTCCAGTCTGTGCCTCGTCTTCTCATGGCTTTCCTATGTGTCTGTGTGTCCTTTCCTGTCTCTTATAAGGACACTTGTCATTGTTAGGGCCCACCCTAATTCAATATGATCTCATCTTGATCCTTACTTTAATTATATCTGCATAGACCCTAATTCCAAATAAGGTCACATTGTGAGGTTCCAGGTGGACATGAATTTGGGGGGACACTATTCAACCCAGTGTGCTGCCTCATAGAGCTCTGAGGTCACAGCCTGCAAAGCACACAGCAAGGTTTAGAGAGCTCTGTGAGGTAGAGGTGGGAAGCCCAGCTATTATGAGCCCCACTTGCTAGATGTGAAAACTGAGGCTTTAGGGAAACTTTGGGTCCCACTGCTAGTAAGTGACAGAAGAAGCAGATGAATTGCTTATTCTATGAAGGCCATTCAACATCTGTATTTTGGGCGTCTTTATGCCAGCTCATGGTTTGGTGGAAAAAGTAGTTCATCATCCTCTTCATCATCATTGCCATGACAGGCTGGGTAGTCAATGTAGTGAAACCCTTTGAGAAGAGGGAGGGTACCTGCCCCAGGAGGGCTTGTGAGAGGAAGTACTGTCTTAGCCAAAATTGAGGGGTACTGAGGAATCAGCAAGGGAAACTGTGAAAGACAGGAGTTAGGATAGTTTTCAATGGCATGCGCAAAGGCCTGGAGGCCACCCTGGGCTTCTGTGTGGGCCTGGGCTGGTCAACGACACAGAGTCAGTAGACCTTCAGCTATGTATTTATGAAATGAGGGGCACCTGGGTGGCTCAGTCAGTTAAGCATCCGACTCTTGATTTTAGCTCAGGTCATGATCTCAGGGTTGTGGGATGGAGCCCCATGTGGGGCTCTGCACTTAAAGCAGAGTCTGCTTGAGATTATCTCCCTCTCCCTCTGTCCCTTCCCCTGCTCACACTCGCTCGCTCTCTCTCAAATAAATAAATATTTAAAGATTTTATTTATTTATTTGACAGAGAGAGAGACAGGGAGAGCAGGAACACAAGCAGGGGGAGTGGGAGAGGGAGAAGCAGGCCTCCTACAGAGCAGGGAGCCTGATGCGGGCCTCGATCCCAGGACCCTGGGATCGTGACCTAAGCGGAAGGCAGACACTCAACAACTGAGCCACCCAGGTGCCCCAATAAATAAAATCTTTTTAAAAAGTATTTATGAAATCAATTACAGATGGGGAAACAAAGGCACCAAGGTACTTCAAGTCCCATAGCAAATACTGGCAGAGCTAAGACATGAACTCAACTCCCCTATCTCCCTATCTAGGTCTCTTCCTGTCTGCCCCGGGTACCGGGTGCTGCAGAAACAGCTTCCTTGCTCCCTGCTAAGCTGCATCCTGGCCTTGGTCAGACAACAGAGGAGTCAGGTGGAGCTGGGATAGAAGCACAGACCTTTGGGTTCCACAGCCGAGACTGCACCGATCGCGAGCTGGACTTCCCATGAGGCTCTAGCTAAACTGGGCCCACATTCCTACAGGGCAACTCCCGGGCTGAAACGGAGGGGAAAGGTCCCCCTGTTTAGAGCAGAAATATGTTCTCTTGCCCACTAATGTTACTTGCCTGGACTTGTTGGTTTTCAGTAAGAACAATAGCCGAAAAGAATGGCAAGTATTGAGGTATTTACTAACAAGCACTTAATCTCCTTCATCTTACTTTATCCACCCAAGAACTATTTCAGGGTAGGACCACACATTGCCCTATTTTACAGCTAAGAAAACCCAGGCTCAGTGGGATAAAGTGACTTGCTCAAGGTCACAGAGCTGGGGAGCAGTAAAGCCACAAGAATCCAACCCCCACCTTCGCCACCCCCCCCACAGCCCTTCTTTGCCACAGTGGTGGGGGAGGGGCAGGCTCACAGAGTCTCTTCCCTGTCTCCCTCAGAAGGTACCAACTCTGAATGTGACCAAATGCTCCGGTCCAAAGAGGAGGCCAACTCTCTTAGGAATCTTCCTGCTAAGAGCAAAAAGACCACAGGCAACAGGATCTAGAATCATCCAATGTGACCTGGACTGGAGCAGTGGTGTCAGAACCATGCAGCGGAGTCAGGCTCCTTCCCCAAGGGGCTTTGGAAGGTGGGACCCCTCTGGGGCTGGTTTGCCCTCCCCACCCTGAGGCCCTACCTATTCCCCGCCCCCCCAGACCATCTCACTGATACTACCTCTGTTTCCTTCTCTCCCTCCTCAGCTTGGGTAGCTATGTGGGGGACAAGCGTGGACAAAGATACCACGGTATGTAAGGATGGCAGTTCTGCTTATCTATTGTTACACAATAAACCACCCTGAAACTTAGTTGTGAAAAGCAACTATTTCATTATGCTCACAGATTCTGTGGTCAGAAATTTGGAAAGGGCCCAGTGGGAACCACTTGTCTCTGTTCCCTGATAACTGGGGCCTCACCTGCAAAGACCTGAAGGCTGGTGATTACTTCAACGGCTGGAATCATCCAGGGGCCTCTTCAGTTCTTCAGTATTTGTGGTAGTTGATGCTAGTTATTGGCTGGGACTTCCACTGGGACTGTCAGCAGGAGCACGTGCCCTCTCCTTGTGGCTTGGGCTTCCTCACAGCACAGGAGCCTCAATGTAGTCCAAGCTTAGGGCTCTAAAAGGGATTGCCCCAGCCAGGGTGAGGAAGGTGCATTACTTTTATGACCTTGCTTTAGAAGTCATGCAGAGCCACTTCAATGCATTTTACTGGTTATGAGTGAGTTATAGACCCACCCAGGTTTAAGGGGAGGGGAATCAGACTCCATCTCTCTCTCTTTTTTAATTTTTATTTTTT